TATAAAATAAACCATCAAAGTATTCAACAATTTGGAAGTAAAAGAAAAGTTATGCATTGTTTTCATGCTACTGAACAACTAAAAATCTAAAATGTGCAGTATGATTTAGGCCCTCAGTCAATACATCAGCTTTTACTACCATTGAGGCAGGTATTTTAGGGTACGTTTCTTCTAGGACTACAAGTGTAGAAGTTTAAGTCATGCAAGACAGGTAAAGTGTTGTCAAGTTGGATGAAAAGCATCTGTGAACATCTATTTTCAAGTCATGCAACAGATTCTCACAGGACCAGTCTACCTCATGAAAATGCTTCGATCCAGGCTGGCTATGTTCAGGGTCTTTCTCTGAATGGAATCTGAACCTTCACCCCAGTTCACAGTCTTTTGCCCCTTTCACAGGTGTTCTTCTGGGATTGCCCTGCATTTAGTTGCATCCATCTCCAAGACATCCCTCTTCTCATTTCCCCACAGCATGATGTTGCCTACACCGTGTTTCCCTGTGGGAATGGTTTATTCAGGGTGTAGTACAGTGATAGTTTTCTGCAATAGACAATGTGTTCCATTTAAGATCAAAGTTTTCTTGTACATGTTTGCAGTGGCCCTTTAATGGCTTGAGCCAAACAGGCATTGGTACTTTTTAAGGGATTCTTCTTGCTACTACATAAGAAAGGCCAAATTTATAGAGCACTGTCCTGTCAGCAGACTTTTCCTCTGGACAGAGGATCTCTGCTGCTCTTCCAGAGCCAGTTAGATTAGGTGGATGGCTTTGTAATAGTTGGTTCTCTTCTAGATATCAAAACTAGAAAGAGACAATTTTCGGAAGATTGAACAGTGGTCCTTCGATTGTTTAAAGCTTGGGGCATTGTTTTATAAAGTATCTAAGCCTTTTGCAGAACAGACATATTTAGACTGAAGTTTAGTCAGTTGGTTCAGAATTCTTCATAGAGGAATTTCAGTAGAGGCAGGTGAGTACAAATGCATGCTTGTTTATTTTTTTTTATGTTTCATTCCCCTTCCAACTCTCAGTTATGCTCTACCTTGTGTTGGAGTACGTACCACATAAAATCTCCCCCGCCCCCAAAATACATTGATAGTTTGTGATTGTGGCAAACTAAAACTTTTTTCTTTTTTTTTTCTTTTTTTGCAAGACAATGTTCTTCACTTTATTGATTAGGGAAAAATAAAAGCTTTAAACCAAAACCGGTCTAATATACGGAGATTTCATTTAATAAAAGTTTGGTATATGAAGCCACAGCTCAGGATTATATCTCCAAAATCTGTATTCTACCCGTCCTATCTTGTTTGGTAAAACAGCTGAATTTTTATAACTCCCAACCTCCTGGATGTACTCTGCTTCTCTTCTATAACTGCATGACTGAGCATAATTACTTCTAGCTTTAGGCTATGACACAGAGTTAAAATGAGTGACATGGGCATACATGCTTCTGTGTACTGAGGTTCCAATCAGTCCAGCTCATTTGCCCGTGACAGCCCAGACTCAGAGTTGAGGGATGACACGAAGGTGGTGGCGCCTAAACGTACGCTGCAATTAAACCTAAGCCTTCAGAGTGTACACCAGTTCCAGCCAGTCTTCCCTTTGGGGTATTTTTATATTAATTTGAGGGAAATCAGATTTTAAGGACTCAGCAGTGGATTGAATTACCTTGGATTGGCATTTTTGCAGAGTAGGATGGTACTCTGAAAAAGAGCCTCAAACTGAATGGTGAAGATTTTCTTATTTGGATCCATCGACATTTGGACAGCACTAGGTGACAGTGGCAGGTGGTGGTGGTGGGGGGGGGGACACACACATTGCTCTGGATGTATGAATATGAATAGATGTGACAGTCATGCACAGAACAGTTTACTGGCCATTGCTACCCCTCCAGAGACAGGAGGATCATTAGCACCTTTCAAGTGTACTCTCATGAGAGTTATCTTAATTTAAGATGTGGCACGAAACTCACTGGTGAGCTTTGCAGTCTCAGCGGCAAAGATAAGGAACAAAGGGCCAAAATTCAAGGGGGGCGGGGGGGGGGGAGAAAAAGTTTTTGAAGGGAAAAATCTGAATTGAACAAGCTTTTTGCCGTATCTCCATCTCTTAAAAGCCTCCTCATCCAAGCAGGCGAGCAATTGTTCATCTGGACCAGGATAAAGCAGACTGTGATGGCTGGGCTTCAGCAAAGCTCGCAATGTGAACAGATGGCTTTGATTAATGCGAAGGCAGCAGACAGGCTCTCCTGAGATGCCTCCACTTTCCTAAATGAGACATTTGTGTGCAATTGTATTGTTTGTTAAGTTGTCACCAGTTTCGTCTGCTGTTTGAATGAGAGTTCTGGGGTTTTTTTCTGGTTGTCGTTTCACAGAGGCACATTCCTGTGTTCTTTCATACTAAAACCATCATATTTAAGATGTTTGTTTCACTGGTTACACCAGGTGGAATAGCAAAACTCTTCCTATGTAGGGTTAGGTGTACCAAAGATAATATTAGTAATAACTGCTAGAATAAAAGATATCTTCTTAGAGAACATCTGAAAACTTTATTAAAAATTCAGAAATTGACCCTTATTAAGAAAACCACAAATCCAAGCAATTTAGAAAAGTTCAGATGATGACATCATTGTTTGTAAACTTCCGACTGGTCGATTTATAAGTTAAATGGAGGCTCAGCTGGATGTATACAATGCAAATCCAGCTTGCAAATGTGCTCAGGGCCAAAGAATTTGAATGTCTTACCATGATGAGCACTGCTTCATATGGAGGAAAAAGGCAGAAACATTACAAACTCGAGAACACCATCCCAACGGTGGAGGATGTGGCTGCAGAAGGGACTAGTGCACTTCATTAAATATATGGCATCATGCTAAAAGAGCATTATGTGGAAATACTGGAAACAACATCTCAAAACATCTGCAAGAAAGCTCGGTTAAAGAAGGACTAAATTCCAGACAGAAAATGCAAAAGCCACGTGATGCAATGAAACAGTTGTGTCCTTACAGGGAGGACACAAGGAGAGCAGGACTTTGAACCAGGGCAGCAGAATGCAAGAAAGAATGAGGTTTCATAGAAACCAGGTGTGTTCAATCAGGAAATGCTAAACAGCTGAGTGGGAGTACTAAATGGTGAACTAAGAGGAGGATATTAATGAAAACAGTGGGAAACAAAACAGGATACAATGGAACTATAAGCCGCACATAAAAATAAGAGAATAGCCAGTACAGAAACAAAACACAGGAAAGAACTAGATGTGCAAAGGCATAAATAATGAACACACGCACAAAAAAACTAAAACACAAACCCTCACAGGTCATGACAGGAGGCTAAAGGGTGGACACAAGTGGGTCCTCCAAATGACCATCGCTCCAAGCACATTGTTAGATATAAAGTGGCCTTCAAAGCTGTCTCAATTACATCAGTTCTGTCAGGATAAATGGGTCAAAACTCCAGCAAACTATTGTGAGAAGCTTGTGGAAGAATATCTAAAACCATTGACCCAAATCATCCAATTTAAAGGCATGTCTAACAAATACTAAAAATATGTATGTAAATCTTTGAGTTTGAAGAGAAAAAAAAAATCCTCTCAATATGTTGGCATCTTGGAAAAAGAAGTATTGCAATCCTAACTGGATAAAAGAGGAAAGACTTTGTCTGGTCAATTGTTACGCAGGGGGGGGGGGAGGGGTTTTACACAGTGTACATGAATATCTCTCAAAGTAAAAAAAAACAAAACACTTAGACTCTTTTAAAAAACTAATAAATGAACTTTTAATACAATCGGTTACACAGAGCTACATAATGCACACAAGTGTAAGTGCTGTGGCTTTAAAGAATTAAAACAGAACGTTTTCAATTAAAATAAAGTGTGAATTAAATCATTAAAAAAAAACAAACACTAGATGCAGACTGCACTTTGCACTAAAAACACATTCAACAAGTGCTAAAAAGCAGAAGCAAAGTTTACCATGTTGATTCTCTAACTGCCAGACATAACGCTGTTGTCAAAGCTATCCACAGGTCATGTACGATATTCAGAACGTGAGAAACCACGACACATTTTAAACAAATGTGGTACAGAAATACGGAGGAAATGAATATCAGGCCTTCAAAGACAGCCTCCTAAAACCTTATTGCCTTACAAAATATTGGCAGAAGCACTTGGCATGTTGTGCGTATTGGGAGGTTCCCTTTAACTGAACAGAGGTCAGTTAACAGTGTGAGTACTGCATCTGAATTTTTTGTTGTTGTTCCCTGACAGATATTTTTGATTTTTATTGCTTAATAATGTCAGAACCTCATATTATTAAAATGCAAGGGTTATATGTTGCCCGTTATGTTTCCATGAAGAGTGCTGCACATAAAGACAAGATGGTTACATAAATCGCCAGAGACTTTTGACACAACAGTTTCTGACTGTGCTGTGACGATTTCCTCAACAGTGTTATGTATTTAGAGAAAACTTCTCCAAATGATGTGAATGGTGCCTCGCAAAAGTATTCGTGGCTTTAAAACTTTTTCACGTTTTGTCAAATTACAACCAGAGAACTGTGATGTATTTTAATGTGACTGTGTTGCATGGGGCTGTATAACAGAACAAGACAACGGGACGCGGGAAAAAGGATCAATAGTTTTTCAAATTTTTAAAATGGCGACGGCAGCATTTTTGCGGCCGGGTGATTATATTACGTTGGGGCAGAAAAGTTAAAAACAAATCTTGCCACACATTTCAGATTATTCTATGAAAATAAATCGTGTGTTCTTTTCCTTTCATTTCAAAAAATGATGCTGCTGTGTTTTGGGCCATTTCTAATAAGATTTTTTATACATTTGTGAAATGTGAAGAAGTTCATGAGGTATGTCTATTTTTCTAAGGCATTGAAGGTGTATTTGGTCTTCTTGAAATTCCCTTTATCATCCACATTTGGGTCCTCACCTTTGAGCAGTTTTAGAGGAGACAGTTACACCTGCGTGTTTTCTTGTCTGGTAAAGCAGCAGAGGGAGTAATGTATCGGTCATGTGTGCGTTTAAGCTGGGACACAGTGAAGTTTTACTCAGGAGAGAACAGTTAAGACTACAGTTCCTTTGGTCTTTTTTAAGATTTCCACAGCTTCCGCATGCGTCACACCTTCCAGGCAGTGTCCATTCACAGCAATGATCTGATCGCCTCGTTTCAGTCTGCCGTCCTCAACGGCTGCCCCCTGCAGGGACAGGAGAGTCCACCGTCAATCACCGACTACAAACTACTGAGTATGTATCTCATCATGTATTTGTTGTAGAGAACAAAGCCCACTTCCAGAAAACAGTGGGATTATAAAAAGTAATCCTTTTAAAACTCGTTTATTGAAAATGAGAATAAAATAAAATTTCACGTAATCGTTCCAACATAGATAAACTCAAAGATTACAAATTGTCTCATGTTAAAATTGAAAGGAAATGGAAAGTTCACTTTTTTTTAAAAGTGCAAAGAATGATCTGTTGAGCAGCTACAAACTGATGCTCTGAGTTTGGATTTGATTTGTTCAAAAGAACATCTTGGCAGAAAACCAATTATCAGTGAGGCTCCTCAATCATATTCCGCTCAAGCCGCTCTACGGCCTCGGGCCATCCTTGTACACATTAATGTTTGTGTTTCAGTTTTAGGAAACTTTAAACTTTTCTTTGAAAAGGAGGTTTGTGAGAAGATACTCCTGTTAAAATTGAAAATCCGACAACAGGACTCATCCAAACAAACGGTTTGCCTGTGATTTCTGTCTATAGGTTTGCAACAAAGCAGAGCAGGACAATGGGAGTTTCTGTTTTCCATGTCTTACAAAGGTACACGTTAAAATAAACAGACTGAATAAGCAACACAAAGACATAGTGTTGAAATTCGCACTTTCACATGTTGGTTTCTCACCTTGCTGAAAATAGTTTTCACGTAGATCGGCAGGTCTCCATGAGGGCTGCCAAACCCCCCCACTATGCTGAAGCCCAGGCCTGACAAACCTCTCTCCAGACTGATGGTCTTATAAACGCGTGGACTGTAGGGATCAGGGAGCAGACTCATGACTGTCCATTCAGGCCCAGGTTGCATTCAAGGGATTTTATCTTTGACTTTACTCAGTGGTGGAACCAGGAATAATGAAAAAAATAAAAATAAAAAATACTAGTGAAAACTTGCTGACATGGAGTCTTACCAGAAGTTATTCTGAGAGCAGCTGCTGGTTGGATCTGATGAGCTGACATGAGCTTCACTTGGATCCTGTGAGCTGCCCCCTTCGAAAGCAGCTGCCACCTAAATACGGAAACACAAACACACACACACACACACAGCAGGTTCTAATGTCATATAAAGCCTTGTAAAGATACTGCCACCATCCCTTTAACTATTTTTGTTTTTTCTCGTTACAAACCCAAACTTCAGAATTTGGTTTGTGAAAAACCCAAACTGGAGTTTTATGTGAGAGGTCAACTGAAAGTTGTTCATAATTGTGCAATGTAAGGAAAGATGTCCATAGTTTAAAGCACTGTTGTAATTAAAAAATGAAAAGTGGCAAAAAGTCCTTATAAGGCAACGACTAAAAAAAAACTAAAAAACTCCACTCTTCAGTCATATACCAACTATATCTCACCAGACATGAGTAAAGAAGGCCTTGTGGTTACATGAAACCAAAATTGAGCTACATGGAAAAGACTAATAGTGGTGGAAAATGAATCTTCCACTACCATTTCCACTGTGAAACACAGTGTTGGCGGCATCATGATGGACACTTTGCTTCAGTTGTTCAGAACAGAAGGTAAGATGGATGAAGCTACAAACAAGGCAATCCTGGCAGAAACCTGATAGAGGTTGAAGACGTTTTGAGACTGGGGAGGAAATTCACTTTTCATCCGGAGAACAAGAAGAAACATGAAGCCAAAACAAACAAGCTGAAGATTTTGATAAAAACTTTCAGAGATGCCGGCTCCTAACCCAGACTTAGGCTTTGGGGCCTAAAAAAAAAAATCCATGGAGTTCTCATCTATGCATACTCCTTATTGTAGGAGGCAATAAAATCATGTCATAGTACACATACTGTATCGCTTCAAAAAATAAAACACATTTGCTTACATGTATTAATGGAGCAAGATACGACATAGACAATATGGAGTACTATTTGCTGTACAAGGAAATTGTCTCTTTGCCAAGCAAAAGAAAGACTCGGATAGAGGGAATATCATGTGACCGCACACTGAACTTTGCAGAGGAAAGCCTCTCTCAGTTCTGAAGCTACAGTGATGAGTGAGTATCCTTCTCTTGACATTAGAGCAGTAAAAATCCTCCTACCATTCAGCACCTGTCTGTGAGTGTGGCTTCTCAGCTCTGGTTCAGCTGAGGACAAAACATCGGCACAGTCTGAGCATCAAGCCGAACCTCAGAGTTGCTTTGTCAACTATAAGTCCAGACTCTGAGGCTCCTAACAGAAGTAAAAAACATGCACAGTTCGCTCATTAATTCCAGAAAATTCAAGGTTTCTTATGTTAGCAGCAATCCCAAGGCTGAGCTTGAGGTTGAGGTATGTTTTTCTTTGCTTACTTTGGGGGACAAAACCGGCTACTGGAGACAAATTCTTTCTAAAGCAGTTTGATGGATCTAGATTTTGGTAAGATGATTCTCAGCTAGAGCTACACAATTTTAGTTTTAAAAATACTTCTCAGGAGTTGCACTATTTAATGCTTTGCCGTAAAAAGCATACTTTTATTTACCGATTGCTCAGATTGTTATGTCCGTAATTGATGCTTCAATAAGTGACTTAAAAGAAATCCAAGAATATTCATGTGCTATAATGCTTATTACCAGGCCAAACATGGACTTAAGGTTAGCATATAATCTGTCACATGACCCAAAACATGGCTGCTCATAGATGTTCTCTGACCAACAGATATTTGGATCTCATAAAGACATATCCTAAAAGAATTGTATTTCCTGCAGAAGGGGGCTCTACAAAGTATTCACTGCCATTCGATTGGTACATTTTGATCTCAAGTGAAAAATTATGAGGCACAGTTATCAGTTATTAGCCTGAATATCTTGGTTGGTAATTTTTTTATTTATTATTCAGGATTTCCATCTGATTAAATCTGGATAACAATAATTAACCCAATTGTTTGTGCACCAGCTAACACAGTTTGGTTCCTTTACAGTAAAAAAAAAAAAAAACTCCATCAAAAACCAATGTATGACAACAATTTGATAGTGCTACTGATGTCACGAATCTATTCAAAGACCTGCTGCAAACTATGAGCTCTCTCTTTAATTAAATACTTTTTTAGAGAGGCACAGTAATGTCTTGGTTGACTTTTCTGGAAGTAAAAGTGACCTAAAGTGTGAGGTATTCCTGCCCGTCTCTGACAGTGCAGAGGAAAAATCTTGCTGACGTTGGAGGGATTCTGCCATTATTCAGCTGGTCATTATCCATTGACTACTATATGTCTAAGTGTGACAGTACCTGCAGACTGATGGTTCCGGTGGCGTTTTTGAGCAGGGCTTCAGCATGGTCATGAGTCATTCCCTCCGTGGACACATCGTTGATGCTGAGGATCCTGTCTCCTGTCTGGGGTACACACACACACACACACACACACACACACACACACACACACTACAACTTTTCCATATGCTGAGATATTTAAATCGAAACTAAAGCAACTTAGCTGAAACTTTTTTTTAAGGCTTTAAGGCTCTTAATGGTCTCAGGGTTCCTTCACATTTCTCCTTTCAAAATTTCATATTTATCCACATTCCCATTTCCATATTAGTCTGTCAAATTTTCCCCTATTTTTAAAATGTAAACACAAAACTTCACTACAGTTTTGACACTGGTAATTTTTCTCTATAGTGGATGGCTGCATGGATGGATGGACGGATGGATGGATGGACAATTTGATGGAAAGACTTAATGTATTGATGGATGGATAAGGACTTGAAAAGATGGATGAAAGGGTGGATGGACAAACAGATGGACTGATGGGTGGATGGAGCAGAAAGTAGGTGGAGAGAAAGGAAAACAAACTGGTTTATGGTCATTGATGACACATTTATCGATGGATGGATGAAATTTTAGGTCAAAATGATTGATAAGATATATTCAGTAGAGTCCAATAATCAGCCACCTTGTCAGCGTGTAATAAGACAAATAAAAACACACAGGCATTGCTCACCTCTAATTTCCATGTTTTGGCGGCCAGTCCATCGGTATCCATAGAAGCAATGAAAAGAGGTGCGTTGCCATGGGGACTACTTACTCCTCCAGCTAAACTGATTCCCAGGGTGTCACCTGGACCCTGTGGTGATATCAAACATAAAGACAAGGTGTTGTTGCTTTAATACATGAGTAAACTCAAAGTCTTGTGATATAAATAATAAATTGTAACTTTTAAATTGGACCTTTTGGAACAGATGAAATTTGATTTTCCTAATTACAGAAAAAAAATGTATTCCTTTTTTTTATTTTGAAGCCCCTTACCTTCTCTATTGTTACTTTTCTGAGCTCAGCTTCTTGAAGCATTTAAGAGAACAAAAAAAAAAAAAAAAAAAAATTTCAAAATGTAGAGGTTTAGAGCAAACAAGTTTAACTGGATGGTTTTCAATTGAAAACTGTAAAGTGTATATGCACATGTTCTTTTTTTTTTTTTGACCTGAATAAATAAAACGCTTACTGCAGCTCCGTGTTTTGTTATCCGTCTCCCTCTGGTGGCAAAAAGATGAATCACATCCACTTTTGCTGGTCAGAGTGGAGCAGTCAGAGGCTTCGCTCTGGATAAAACACAACTGAAAATATTCCTAGATTCACAAAATAATATTGTTAAAATAGTGCAGTATACTATAACAATACTACAAAAAAATTATTCTGGGCAAAAGAAGTCTGGATTAGTACATTACATTTTTTTTCAGCTGTTACAATTACCTTTGTGGTGATATGAATGTTTTTTGATTCATATTTATTCATTACATTATTTTTTTCTCTTATCTATTGTGTTCTTTGTTATTCTTCCTTCTTATTTTTTTCTTTTAGAAGACAAATTAAAGATAATCATATTGTTATAAAATAGTGCAAAAGTGAATGATATTAAGATGCAAAGACTATAACAAAACCTAAATAAAAAGGGAAGGACAAAATGACAAAGACTGAAACAGAAACAAGAAACAAAAAATGCCAATAGTAATTACAATAAATTTAAGAACAATTAAGTAGGAATATTAACGCTGAGGTACATCAAAAAAACATTAACATCATATTATGTGTGCCACATTTTGTACATCTAAAACTATTTAAAATTACTTTTAATATTTTTGTTCTTTTTGACAATCAAGTTATTCTTTCTTTCAATATTTGTCCTTAATTATGGCAGGTCTGGTCCTCCATACCAGTCAAAAGAGGAAAACAGTTTACCTTACTCCTCTGGGAATACCGGAGCCCAGCTTTAAAACGAGCTACCTCTAGGTGGACTGCTCCAGTGCACTCCTAAACCAAGGTAAAAATGATTTTTTTTATTTATTTAGATGACGAGAAAACTTAGTAACACACACAAAAAAACCCGAAAAACAGTAGCTGTGTTTTTGTGACAGGTTATTGAGTGAGACCTGTAGAAGTCTCTGCGCATGCTCCTGTGACGCGGCGCGAACATCTTCCCCATTGATCGACAGAATCTGGTCACCATGTAGCAAGCTGCCGTCTGATTCTGCAACGCTTCCTCTGATGATTTCTGACACGAAGATGCCTGTGTCATCGCTGTTTGGAGGAAACGGAGGTCAAAAAGGTCAATAAATTCCACCTTGTGAAAGATTATAGAACACATAAACTTTTGCAGGATTATCCCACTACAACAAGACAAGGAGAATTAAGGAATTAAGAACTCTGTCCAAATCTGACAAGTCGTAACAAAGTTTTAACATTTAAGTAGCACACAGCTGAGTACATTACAATGACATAAGTAAGGAAAGGAAAGAAAAGTCAGTTATGTTTCTGTTAGTAACGTAGGTAGAACAGTCAAAGGCAACTCTAAAATTAGTTTTTAATCTTGATTTTAGACATAAAGGTCTCAAGCTGCTTAATAGGAAGAGTAAACACTCCACGCACCAGTGTGGCTATAAACCTACATTTTTGGGAGAAATTAAAACATATCAAACTCTTATTGCTGGTAGAAATACATTTGCCGCTTTGACTTTATGTGCAAAAAACATTTAAGATTTAAGTCATCTAACATTTAAGTCTATCAGTTTAATCTCCTATTAATCCTGAACGGTGTTAAAGAGATAACAGAGACTTTATAATGTTGTGTGATGAAACACACCTTATAAAAGCTGTTCAGTCAAGTAAGTTGTTGGGAACTGTTTTTTGGGTAAAAAAAAAAAAAAAAAAAAATCTTATAAAATAATAAAAACTTGTAATCAGTTTTTTCAAACAATTTTTAAATATTTGGCAAAAGCAACTAAAGCAGTTCCTACTTTACTGAAACTGTGAGATTCGCTTTGCAGATGATGTGTCCCTCACAGGAAAGTGATGGAAAAAAAAAATGGCTTTGGGGAATATTTGATTAACCTTCACTCTGACCCGCTGACAGATTATTGGCAAGTCTTTTGCTTTATAAGTTTTTGCAAACTTATCATGCATTTTCAGCACTTTACAGCCAAAACAAAGTCACCTTGCAGCAACTCTGGCATCCTGGTTCCACCACAACATTTCCACTAGCAAAAAAATAAAAATAATAATAATTTCTACTTCAACCGAAGAAAAAAACTTTCACAAAATCGCAGCAGTGCACTTATTATTTTTCTTTCATTTTTATTTTTGACAAGAGGGTTTAGCACCAATGCTATGTGTAAAATTGATTAATAGATACATTGGATGTTAAAGTCATTACTAGCCTCCATTTGCAGGACACCATAAATTCATACTGAGAGAGTTATTTGCATACCTGATAGGTGACAGAATGCATCACCTATCAGAGAGTGCTCATGATGTTTTGTATGTTTTTCACTCATATGCATTAAACATTACTTGGAATAAATCCAAGAAAATAGACAATTCGGCATCCAGTCTCCCTTTACAACCTGGCGCTAAACTTTTATCCTGAAAAACAGCAAACTGAATTCAGAGCTTCCTTTAATCATCAAAACCTTATCAGGTCTATGTAGTTGTAGAGGAGCATGACTGATGCTTTTCCTGGATTAGATTGGTTGCAAAAGAGGCTTAGGAAAGTATGACATCAGAACTTTTTTTTTTTGTTTATCATTGCAAGAATGCCGTTGATAATAGTTAACCCAAATGTTTTTAACCCAAATGTTTTTTTGGAAGACATTTGTTTTATCACTGTCCCTGAATACTACCAAGATCTAATTTCTCTAATTTGCATAATAAACGCTAAAAGATTATGCATGAGTAAAAGTCAAATAAATAAATACACAATCTGCACTAAGCAGCCGCATTTGCATTTGCAATTTTATTTAACAAACCATTCGTAGGTCACACCAAATGGCCAAAGGTTTAGTCCAAACTCATCACTTATCCACGCCACTGGCGGAGCAACAGCTTTACTCTTTACCTCTTCCCCACGGTGGTGAACCCCAGGCCTTCCTCTGGACGAGGTGTGAGTTCCAGACTAAAGATGTCCCACAGGTCTTCCTCCCGGTAGGCCTCCTGGTGCCTGAAGACACGCAGCCGAACTCGTTGGGTGGTGAGCCGCAGGACTGCAATCGCCTCGTCATGCGTGGCCTGCCGCAGGTCTATGTTATTCACCTGAAGAGGTAAAGCCAATGAAAAGGCATTAATGCACAATACATTTATTATTATTATTATTATTATTATTATTATTATTATTATTATTATTATTATTATTATTATTTGCATTTTGTTATGTTACAACTACAAAGGTAAATGTTTGTTTATTGGGATTTTAAGTGACAGACCAACACAAAGTAGTGCATAGCTTTGTGTTGAAAGAGACATTATAAATATGACTCTGAATGTTTTCATACATAAAAATCCATGAATTCCTCAATGTGTTATCAGTCCCCATGAGTCAATAATTGAGGAACCAGTTTTTGCTACAATTGCAGTTGCAAATCTTTTGAGGGAATGACTCTTCTAAACTTCTACATCCAAAGACTGAAACTTTTGGACTTTTTTTTTTTTTTTTTTTGCAAAATATCTCAATCTCAGTTAGAATGGAGAGTATCTGTATATATATCCATTTTCCGTTTTTGCCAGAAATTCTCAATTGCATGTAGGCCTGGACTTTGACTGGGCCACTCTAGGGCATGAATGGCATTAGATCTGGATTCAAACTGAATTGTCTCTGTTGTCTAATTTGGTCATTCCTGAGGGGTAACTGGTTTGCACTTTGTTCAGGGGCTGAATTCATATGTACGCCACACATTTCAGATTTTTTTTGTTAAAAAATATTTGAAAACAGTGTATTATCCTTCTATGTTGGACATTATTGTGTATCGGTCTATCACTTTAATGATATAGATTGTGAAAATGCAACAGAAGCCAGTGGAGTCTTATGTGTTTGCATGCATGGTTCTGTCACACCTCTAATATTTGGTCTCCAGCCTGCAGCCTTCCATCTCTCTGTGCTGCGCCGCCATCATTCACTTCATGGATTATTACTGCCCCCTGGTGCAAAAATGAAAAACTTCCCTCATTATTACAGAAAAGACCAAAATATGTGGACAATCAGACAGTCTAACTGGCTGCTGCAAGTCTTTATTACTGACTTTAATCAAGAATGGATAGAAATTTGATTACACAGCACTCCCTTCTAAATTTTGCAACATAATTATAAAACCTTAACAGCAAAATTACTTAATTGTATATTTTTAGACACTGCTTGGCTTTTCTCACCAGAAGGGTGTCACATCCTCCTACGATGCTGAGGCCCAGGCCTAAGCTTTCTTTGCAAATTTCTATGGTGGTTTCCCTCCCAGCTAAGACCGGGCAGCTCCGGGGGTCAGAAGTTGAAGGACTTGAGGGTGGCCAATGAGAGCACTCTGCTGGAGAGGTTTGCTCTGTGCCGAGGGACATAGAAGAAGACTGAGAGACTCGACGGGGTTCAGATGAAACAGCGGGAAGGTGGGGGTGATGGGAAAGTGCTGAAGGGAGAGACTGAGAAGAGGAGAAAGGGAGAGTCTTGGATCGGCTGATGGAGAGCTTGACAGTGACCGGATCTTTGAGAATCAAACTGGACACCTGAATACAAAGAGGACAGGCAAGTCATAAATCATTAAATCAACTTGACCTTGGAGAGCGCGTACGTGGCAGAATCTGTTTGAGAGTGTGTGTTTCTGAACCTCTTCTACTGACAGTCCGGCTATAGGTTCACCCCCCACTGCCACGACTCGGTCTCCAGCCTTTATCCTGCCGTCCTACATATGGCAGCACGGAAGAAAATGTACAATAGGCAGAATGTAAGTCAGAATGTGTGCAAAAGATATTAAAGAGATTAAAAATCAAACACCCCCTGTGGACAAGTATCAGCATAATTGCCTGGGGCAATACATGAAAGCTTTTAAACACATGATGACATGCCATTAAAAAACTGCAACGACCATTTGGAGTTTAATCGGAAGCAAACATTTCCACAAATGCAGACAGACCGTAAAAATGATATCAGAAGCTGCAATTACATGTATTATACTTTAATGAGCTGCTTATCTGCAGCTCTTTATTTTGATTAATGAGTAATTGCACGTCAAATTAGAGAGGCTTGATAAATTATAAAGCATGATGAAATAATGTGCAACCTGTGTTTTGAAAGAACTCTGGGAACTCATTAAAGAAATGAACAAGGTAAGAACTAAAAGAAATATATATATATATATAAAAGACAAAAGTATTTATACACTATTTATACACTTTCCAAATAACCACAGGTTTCGACTTGTGGTTATTTGCAACCACACACAATGAAATGTGCTTTATTGATATTTTAAGTGATAGAAAAACACAAAGTACACATTTGTGAACCAGAGAGGAAAGTAACACATGGGCACTAAAGATGTTATTAAAATGCAAATTTGTAAAACCTGACATTGATTTGCTCTTAGCTTCCCTTAGTCAATACT